TTTCCGTTGTCCGTTTTCCGTTTTTCGTTTTTCGTTTTGGTTTTTCGTTTTTCATTTTTCATTTTTCGTTTTTCATTTTTCATTCTTCATATTTCATTTTTCATATTTCATTTTTCATTTTGCATTTTTCATTATTCATTCATTTTTCATTTTTCAATGTCGCATGTGTCACCATTAATAGCACACAATGGCATTATAAAATCTTCGATATAGCATTAATGCCCTCTACTTATAAAATTGTATGACAAACTTAGATTTATGTGAGGAGCCGGCAACGTCGCATGTGTCACCATAAATAACACACAAAGGCATTATAAAATCTTCGATATAGCATTAATGCCCTCTATAAAATTTTATGACAAACTCAGATTTATGTGAGGAGCCGGCAACGTCGCATGTGTCACCATCAATAGCACACAATGGCCTTATAAAATCTTCGATATAGCATTAATGCCCTCTATAAAATTGTATGACAAACTCAGATTTATGTGAGGAGCCGGCAACGTCGCATGTGTCACCATAAATAACACACAATGGCATTATAAAATCTTCGATATAGCATTAATGCCCTCTATAAAATTGTATGACAAACTCCGATTTATGTGAGGATCCGGCAACGTCGCATGTCTAGCTACCGCACTTACAAAAAATGGCGCTTGACACTTGACATATGTGAACCGTGTTCGCCTAAGGATAGCACGCTCTTTCTTCAGTGTAAATGTTTTATGATTTGACAGGAATGAAAATTATTTTACCTTATTTAAATCTGCTGACCATTAATAAGGGTACCTCTCAAACTTCTTCAAGGATGAAATACATTATCACGATAGATATACACTGAGGCACTTCGTCTGAACCGAAAAATTGTAAACACTAGGCACCGGGTATCACTAGACTGTTGTTATTTGTTATTATATTATGCTATAAGCACAAAGTCTTGCTCAAATGTTGTGGATTTCTGGTCTCTTCAGGAATTGATCTTTGGCACTAATTAGGTCTTACAATCATATTTGTCGTATTTAAGCTGATGATGACTTCTACAAATTGCTAACCGTCACACCCGATTCCACTACATAGTTGGGGGTAAAAGACAGGAATGAAAATTGTTTACCTCATTTAATTTGCTGACGATTAATAAGGCTACCTTTTAAAACCGCTCTCAAACGTCTTGAAAGATGAACTAAATTATCTATAGATACACTGCGGTACGTCGTCTGAACCGAAAAACACTGCACCACTAGACACTTGCAAGACACACTGCTATAAGCACAAAGTTTTGCTATATTGTGGACTTGTTGCCTTTTTAGGATGGATCCATATAAATGTTCATCTAAAATTATGCCACTCATTAGGGTTTACAATCATATTTATCGTATTGAAAGTGATGATGACTTTTTGTAAACAAATCGCTAAACGTCAAAGCCTAAATGCTTAGCTGCCGGTAAAATTACATCGTTGCCAAGGCATACTTGATTATCATTATAATAATGGCTATAGTCCGGTCCGTTTAGACTATGAAATATAGAAATTTTGAATCTTTTCGAAAATGTTGATTTTCACGCGTAAAAAAGGACAATTCTATTGGCGTGATCCAATATTCGATGAAGCGACCAACATAAAGCCGAAAATGGCACGTTTCGGACGTTCCGCTCGCACTCGCTCGCTTTCGTAATACGATTATACCTACATTACCCCGCCTAACAGGAATCTGGGGATCTGGAGGGGAAATTCAAAATTGAAACTTCAAACTAAAAATATCTGCATATCTTTGAATTTTCTAATCTGCCGAGTTTAAAAAATGCGATCGGGTAACGTGCCGTATGTCGGTTTAATCAGGAGACTTTGGTCTTTCGTTTTGCGAAAAAAAATCGTAGCTACGTCGCTCCGTAACGCAGGTGCGTATCGACGAAGACAAAGTACGCCGAAAAACGGTTGTCATCGGTACTTTTGAGGCGCTCAAAGTTTACTTTCTCGAAATTTGACGGTAATTCTGACGGTCAGAATCGTTTCGTCAGCTCATTATCGTTATTTTTCGATAGCTGTATAATTTTTACTCGCTCACGTACGGTAGTAATAAGCGAGGACAGAGCCGGATGACAAGGTGACTTTTTCACGCGTCGAAAAGTAGCGTGTTGTCGGGCAATTTTTAAAAAATCGAAACTTTCGAACGACAAGGGATAAAGGAAAAAAAAAGACGCTATCTTTGAGTCCGATTTCCGGGCTTTCTCACGCAAAAATCGTCAGGTTCGTAGCTCCTTTATCTTCGGAGGAGATAGAAAAAGCGCGTCGAACAGCACGAAAATCTACCGATTTTTCAACTTTACCGGCCATTTTCGATCGCGTTCGTTCCTCCTACCGCGACAACTCTCACTCCACCCGTAAGCGCCGAGTTTCTAGTTTCCGAAACGGTATCGTTTTCCTTCCGAACGTTCCGCGAACCCGGAAAAAACCGGAAAAAATCGGAAAGTAGCGCGTAGTCGAGGAAATCAAAAAAATCGAAATTTTCGAACGAAAAGGCATAAAGAAAAAAAAAGAAAGCCGCTATCTTTGAGCCCGAAGCCGGGGCTTTCTCGCGCAAAAATCGCCAGGTTCGCAGCTCCTTTATCTTCGGCGGAAACCTATGTTGAACGTCGGACAGAACGAAAATCTACCGGTTTTTTCGACTTTACCGGCCGTTTTCGATCCGATCCGTTCCTCTCACCGCGACGGCTCCCGCTTCCCGGTAAAGCGCCGAGTTTCTACTTTCCGAAACGGTACCCTCTTTCCCTCCGAACGTTTCGCGAACCGGGAAAAAAAACGGAAAAACCGCGTCGACGTCATACGACAATTTCCGAACCACTACCAATTATACCTATTACTACCAAATCGAACAAAAGATCACCGCTTAATATTATCGATTATTTATTTACCCCTCAGAGTACGCGTTCATGCGATTGCACTCTCTTACGCCATTATTAAAATAAATCTGCTTTCGGGGACTCTTCCTCCTGTCTCTCTCCCTCCACCTCCCTCCCTCTCGTCTCCCGTGACAACCCTCAAACAAAATCCTGGAATATTTGAGCGGAACGGTTGCGAAAATGGCGACACATGTACGCCATGAATCGGTTTTTGTTGTTCTGCACGCTACCGGGATACAATGTCACAGACGCTCCGATTGTTATACGTACCGAGCTAATTTTCCTTTGTTTAGGGTTGCACAATGTGCGGCGGCATGGATGTACGCATGTTTGTGCATGTACGTTCGAAATAAGCATTGTTTTCTCTCGTAGCTGATGCTCCTTTGAGAAATCGTCATTTGTTGAACATCCGGAGCTTTGGACTCAGTTCTGTTATCGAAACTACTACCGTTTGTAAACGTATTCACAAGCTCACTTGTATTATCTTCTTATGTTAATCAAACTTTGTGCAATAAACCCACTGGTCAAAGAAAATTTTCTATACAAGTTTCCACACTGAAGTTGTTTCCTTCCACAGCAGGCGTACAAGATATCTCTCGATAAAGATGACCGTTTTAGATACTGATATATAACAAGGCGTATCCCCTGAAGCAGCATCAATTATAGAAGCATTAAGTAATGTCCAAGCTTTGCGATTAATTTGTGCAAAACGTGAAATCCACCAGAGGCAGTACCACTATCAGACCAGCTGTTGTGACGTCTCAGGTTTCACCTGAACCGTATTACTCGCCGCTGCGCTGCGCTGTGAATATGTTTATGAAGCACTTCCTGTTCATATTAGATTCGCGATAAGTACTACCTTCGACAACACCACCTTACACTGAGAAACAGTCATGCTTCGTAAGGCGTTGAAATACTAATATCAAATATAACTAACGCGAACAAGTAATCTTAAAATCTCATATATCGTCAAAATAAGACTACGTTTACTATACCGCCAAAATCGTCAGCCTCTAGCGGCCAAAAAATCGGTGTGCATGGAAGCGAATCCAATTTTGTAAATTTAAAAGAGTTTTTATGTCGTTCTGTTGAATCTGCTTCTAAACACATGAGAGTTTACGTCAAAACAACGACAATATATAAATTTCAATTTTGAAAAAAAAATTGTTTAACATGAAACGGTGGCCATGATGTGACGTCATACAGATAGTAAATAAAGAACCGACATCCGTAGGTCACTCGTGGAATAACGTTGTCTTCTTTAGGTATTTCTAAAAAACTAATAAGCGAGGCAAAAACTGATCGTGTTCTCCTTTTGTTGGAAAAAACGATCGTCGACGTTGCATTCGTAAAAGCAGAAAGTACAAATTTGCCGAAAATTGACACATTGATACTGTCAGCTGCTGTTTACAAATGTATGACGTCAAAGCACATTAATATGTTATAACCAAACATGGCGGATAGCAAAACAAAACAAATTTTTAACTTAATGTTTTACGGTCTTTTAGGTCTAAAAAATATAGTATTAGTTTTTTCCTAATAGAATAAATGTCAAGTATTTCAGAGCTGCTTCAAAAAATGCTTAACTAGCCTCTTAATTTTTCAAAATACTAGTTTTAAGCTTTAGTCTTACGTCAAAAAATTGTTACTATTCTCTTTCTTAAATTCTCCATGTTCTCCATTATTGTTTAAGATATTCCACCACAAGCCAATTTGGTTGCCTGAATATAAGTTTGGTATTCCTCGTCAGTTTCATGTCAGCATTAAAGAATCAATTAGGTACTTCATGTAAGTTAATATTTTCAAACAGAACCATCTGTGTGTGAAATGAATGCAATTCGTTCTGATTTCCTGTCTGTCTAGCAAGTTTTCTTGGTGTACTCACCGCCACGTACTCATTACATCCTGCCATGAACACTATCATCATTTAATTAGTTTTTAAAATAACGAGTTTATTTATTTATAACACGACGTAAGCATGAACATGAACATCAGGGAATGCCTCCTTGTTTTCTGCACACTGACTCGATTTGTATGCTCGTTGCGTTGTTCGTTTATACTAAGAGAATGTCATGCCAGTATTTTGTCACGAGCTGTGGATTTATGGTACGTGGTACCCGCTTTGTATTGTCGTTTCGGACACATACTACAACTTTACCGAAAACTCAAACAAAAGCTTACACGTTTTGACTCTGATTTAGTACGATGTACTGTTAGGCTCGCGATGCCGAACTACAATGGAAACAATTTAACTCATTTGTACCTTTTTAGAGGGTGAGTAGAACCTGCTGACCATTGACAAAGACACAGGATCTATATGAAAAGAGTTTTTAAACTTCGTATGTTAAGTATCATGATTATGTTTATACCATTTTACCTCATAGCATTCATGAAGTGATACATCAAACAGAAGACCGAGAGCTTGAGGACGCAACGATCTAGTACGGTTTAATGCTTCCAAAACAGAATACTGTACGTTAACAAACAAAAAGCGTCCTAGCGCGCTCATCCGGTTTAGATCGAACGCCGACCTCTGCCAAAAAGGTCCAAGTCCAGCTCACCGAGGACTTCATCTGACAAGAAACTCATCCCGTCACTAGGGGCGGTCGTTTCATCCATACCTTTATGAATTTTTTTTATGATTCATAAAGTACTGAGCACCGAAAATCTATTCCACTCAATCATTGCACTACGATATCGTGACAAAAACGCGCATGAATAGTTAGATCGGTGACGGATATCTGAACGAGTATGATGAATATTTCTGTTCGTTTTCTGTCAGGGGTGAATGCGTATTGTGTGACGTTTGATTCCGGTTATCGAGGGCGGTGAAATATGTATATGAGGAGATATCGGTGTAGAATTGATGGCTTTTCCGGTTGTTCCAACAGTCAATGGGATCATAAAACGGGAAATTAGGAAAGGTTGTTGACTGAATCAGAGTGCTTTAAATGTAAGCGAAATGAATTATGTTTTTATGGAAGCGATGTGAAGACAATCCTATCGTAGAAGCTACTTCTATGTTTTTATTTTATTTAGCATTTAGTTTTAATAGAAAAGGAAGTTGAAAGTTTCTCGGAATGCAACGTACTTTATTGCACTAATCATAATGTTAGATTGAAAATTTATTGCAAAAACAATTTTTTTGCTCTAGCTCTGAACCCCTATCAATCTATTGTTCATCATTCTTTTGAAATTCCTTTGAGAAAGGAAACAAAGCCCTTCTAAAATTGTTAAAGCTAATGAACGAGCTGCTCAGTCAGAAGTAGGCCCTACGTTTAACGACGGGTCGATGATTCTGAAAATTAGTGCATAAAACAAAATTTTATGTAATCCTTCGTTACATGACCAAATATCTAAAATTATCCCTATTAATAAGAAAGAAGACAGATACTCCGATGATGATTACAGATAAATTGCAATTATGTGTGACATAACGAAAGCAATTGATTTTTTCAATTCAGATATGCTGTTGAAAAAACTAGAATACTATGGTATAAGAAATACCGATTCGGCATCATTTGTTTCATATTTGCCAAATAGTACGCGGTCTGTAAATTCTAAGGACACTGCCTCTAACCTTTTGCCTATTTGCAACGGGATTAGCACAGGGATCAGTAATTGGCCCGCGATTTATAGTAGATATATCAATGACGTGCCCTCGAGTATTGATAACGGATCCGGGCTTCCTATTTGCAGACGATGCCACCTTCCTGTCTGGACCTGGCCAAAACACGGGTGTGGATAGTCTGGAACAAGCCCAAGGATGGTTTTTTAGCCAAGTTATCGAGATGAAAACGACATATCATATTACGTTTTCATCTGACCGTTGGGTTGTTTGATCTGGATCAGTAAAATGTCTAGGAATAGTACTCAAAACCAAAATAAACTGGATATTCCAAATTGATTATTTAGATCTAGACTGTCTACACAATTATTTTTTCTTAGGCAGTTAAGCATATGCTTTGATAAATAATCATACTTTGTTAGTAGAATATTTCATAGTCACGTTACATAAGGTATAATGCTCTGGAATAACTCAGTAGCGATTTTGAGGAGTTATGGATCAACGTGCAGAAATTCCTTCAGACATCTACAAATATTACTACTTCCGTCAATTTATATAAGTCCTATGATATGTCCACGAAAATCTAACAAGTGTCAAACCTCTGCAGAAATATACACTCATGTACTCCGTAACTGCCCAAAAATAATAGACCTTCGTTAAATTATATAAATTATTCATCAATGCGGATGAAAAAGAATTTTGAAAACAATCACTACATCTCAAAGTTTGCTAAAGAAACGTTGCTTAAGCACCGTTTCTATTCAGTTGATGAGTGCTTTGATGCTACGACGTCACTCGAATAGATAAATCGTATGGTACTGTATGCTATATGTACTTTAATATTTGTTTCAGAGTTCGGTATCATCAGGCTTGCAGCAACCTCCGTCTTCATCATCATCTTCGAGCGTTACCGGCGCAACAGGTCGTCTTCAACCGTCGTCTCCTGCTTCCGTATCTCCGCCCGTCAGCATGGCCGTGACGTCATCGTCCGCCGCCCCTGGGGCCAGCCCTCCGGCAGGGGCAGCCGCCGCGGCCCCTCAGCGATGTTGCGATACCGGCCGGCCCCTGTTTACCGATCCCCTGACGGGGCAAACCGTGTGCTCGTGCCAATACGAACTGTTAGGGTACCAGAGGCTCGCAGGTGCAGCAGGAGTGCCCGCTCTTCCGGCTCTGTCGATGTACAGCGCCCCTTATCCCGAAGGAATGGCGGCGTATTTTCCTGCCCTAGGAGCTGACCAACCACATTTCTATACTTCGGCGGTAAGTCTTCATTTTTTGGAAAGATATACCGATATTTATTCGTCGTATTGATACGGTTGCTGTATTTCATCACGGTGGTCGGTGCTGTATCATAGGAGATCATGTTTAATAAGAATATAATTTGATAAATTGGTAAATTCATCAACTGCAGTATTTTCGCTATATTTAGAAGTAAAGATTTCACCACCATAAATTCCATAATGCTATAAAGATTATGGCCCAGCCTTACAAAGCGTCCAATAAACTACAAATAAGGCAACACACATCATTATCGATTAGCAGTTTCAGTTTACGTTGAATCCAGTAGTTATCTCTGAAAATGCGCACATTCCCAACGTCTCATGGCGAAGCTGGACATAAATCTTGGATCTCAACGTGTTCGTCCTCCTGATCGAGGATCCTAATGAATTTGAGTTATTCATACGTTGACTGGCATCATTAACATCTGCTCAGAATTATCATAAATGATGTTATTTCCTATGCGGCAAAGACGTTATGGCTAGATGTAATAGCCGAAGGAACACATTGGATTTTATAGGCGATAAACACTGTCGAAACATATTTAGATTCAAACCCGCTAACAAGTTTTTTCAAACAAGCAAAATTATGTATTTGATGTTCTATTTTTAAAACATTTTGTTATATTATCGCTACACGTGCCTCTACTTATACAACTTATCTGCGACAATAATTCATTAGCGAGAAACATCAGTTGCATAGTTACAATATATCGTACTTACTGATAGGATTCGTAATAATTACTTTTTACTTCGCAGGATAGTCACTTACACGCGTTTCTGTCCAATTATACATTAGGTGCTAGTATGTACAAGGTTAGCGTCAGTAAAAACATTATGTCGAACAAATTCTTTTCGACAACTATTAGTCAAGTAGTCAATCCAAGGAAAAACCGTTTCTCGTATTATTTTTAATCTGTATGACTGTCAGATCACCAAAGTCGGAATATATTAAACCCACAGGCAACGCTTTTCTTGCTATTTTAAATGTCAAAGTTCTCAACTTGTTTTCTATTGCATTATGCGGTTGTTCACATTTTTACAGTTCGTTCTGAAATTATGTGCAACAAAGTATTTAATGATGTCTCGGTATATCTTTGGATATAGGTTATAGACTGCAAACTATATAGTCGTTTAATTTTTTAAACTGTCATTTTGCTGTTACAACCGCCTGTTGATAAGGATGATTGGTTATTGCGTGCGACCTTAACATGTGTACCTTACTTTCTTGCTGTATCCAATGTCACTGCTGATAGCAATTACAGTTGTAGACCACATGAAGTTTGATGAGTATTTTCATGTTTTCGGGGTTGAATCTTGGCATACGGGTATTTTGTTTTAATCTTCAAAACATTGCTTTATTCGGCTAATCTCCACGGTTTTGACATGAGATGCAATTGGCCAACGTAGGTAGCGTCACCAGCAAAAATAAGATGAATAAAGACTATTTTCTTGTTCTTTTAACAAGAAACTGATCGATTATGTAATAGATAAGATCCCATTGATAGCTTTCCCTTCAAATGTTGCACGATTTCAGGCTGAAAAGAAAATGCATTTGAGCAGAAATACGAATCCGCCACTTTTCAGCCGGCAATTAAAGTAAATTAACAGGCGTGAAAATATAAGTTTATAGAAGCTATTAAGAAGGTGATGATGGAGTCATTAAACAATTATTACTTCTGCACTATTTGCTTTTTAATTGCAAAGCGGAACTCGGATATTTATTACATATATGATTCCAGCATAAACGTCGTACATTATACCTACATATCGCCACTATTTTTCTTTAATTGCTGCGTAAGCATTAAATACGACACCGCATGCAGACAATATTATTCCAGACGAGCCGTTATGTTCAGAACAGTTTTAAATGTAACTCATCTTAGAGATATAATGATTCAGAATTTGATACGTTTAAAAACTTGTATCTATATGATGCTATTTTTATATCATTTCAAACTGCTCAGTTGGTTTTCCCACCCCCTGTACTTTCCGTATATGATGCAGTTGCGTCCTTGATTGGAATCATTCGTTGCTATTGATATGAAGTCATCACCAGAAACTTTTATATACTCAAGGGTGCCTCAAGGCACAGTGCTTGGACTACTGCTTTTCATTGATTACATAGCTGATATGCAAACAATTCTTTGCCGATGATTTCAATTATACAACAATTTCAATATGACAAAATTATAGTTGCAGAATCTTAATAAATGAGGCTTTAAAGGCTATTGATAATTAGAGAAAAAGTCATAACGTCAATTTTAATCTTACAAAATCAAAGGTATCACTTTTTTCACAAAAAGTTACTTATCTTTAACTTGAATATGTATAATAATTTTGTTATCTGTCTTATTGCCATTTATCTAGTTTATTCACGTTTGTATTTATCTTTGCATGGACTAAGTGGATTAATAGACTAATCTTTAACTCAAATAAAATACTATCATTATGATATTTATTGAAAATAATGGTGATGTTATTAAGAAAACTAATTATAGTTTGTTACGCTTGTTGACTCGTTGACTTACAGGTCCTCTTTCTGTGTAGACCTTGCCAAAAATCTATTGTAAGCACATCAAAATGAATTATCACAACGACGAAAACATAAAAGTTGTGGTTTCCCGCTAGACGTAAGGAAATGATGAATTGGCTGTAAAACGCCTACAATGTTAACAACTTGTTTACAAAGTCGCAAGTATTAATTGATATCTATTTGTAACTGAACTATATGCAAATCTCCTCAATACCGCAACTTTTTGCCGCAGCCAATTGATTGCAAAGCTATTAGAAATGTACTGGACATGTTAAGACATATGTCCAGTTATTATTTACAAATTTAATATGAATAATTAATATGTTTTTAACGCAAGGTTCTTTATTAACCGCCTATCCGAGCTTACAGGTAGTTAATAGGACTAGTTTTTTCGTTTAGAAAGCACCGTCGGCAGTCTTCGGCCATAGTGAATATACAGCACAGATCTACTTTCATGGATGACATGTTATCCTCATATTGACGTTATGTCCTTCCTTTCAATCGACTATATTAAGCGGTGATCGATTGTTTTTGAATTGGTAGTGATTGGTAGTGGTTCGGAAATTGTATGACGTCGACGCGGTTTTCGCGGTTTTTTAGGAGGTTCGCGGTACGTCCGGAGGGAAAGAGGTACCGTTTCGGAAAGTAGACGGTCGGCGCTTTACGGGCGGGCGAGAGCCATCGCGGCGAGAGGAACGGATCGGATCGAAAACGGCCGGTAAAGTCGAAAAATCGACCGTTTTTCGGACGGTACGCGGCGTTATTTCACACTGGTTTCGCCGTTTATCGAAATATCGACTCGAGATCGGTCTCGTTCGATAGCTAAACGAGAAATACGTGCCTATTAGCTAAATCTGTTCGGTTCCGCGTCTCGGTTTTTTTCTAGAAACGTTCGAAAAAAAGCGACAAAAATGACGAATCGCCTTGAAAACTACGATATCTCCCTTATGCCGAAGAGAAAAGGAATTTCGCGTGCCGCGTTTCGTACATCTCGGCGAGCGCTACGAATTACGCGGAGAGACGTTTTTTCGTTTACGGTACCCGTTTCGAATAAACGAACTCGAACGTCGTCAAGAATGACTTTTTGCGTATAAAGCGCGCTGCTTCCCCGTATATCAGCTATCTCCTCCGAAGATAAAGGAGCTACGAACCTGACGATTTTTGCGTGAGAAAGCCCATGCTTCGGACACTCTTTTAATACTATTTTCATCATCATTATTCGTTTACGTTGAAAAGTTTCGATTTTTTAAAATTCCTCGACACACGCTACTTTTCGACGCGTGAAAAGTCACCTTGTCATCCGCTCTGTCCTCGCTTATTACTACCGTACGTGAGCGAGTAAAAATTATACAGCTATCGAAAATAACGATAATGAGCTGACGAAACGATTCTGACCGTCAGAATTACCGTCAAATTTCGAAAAGTAAACTTTGAGCGCCTCAAAAGTACCGATGACAACCGTTTTTCGGCGTACTTTGTCTTCGTCGATACGGACCTGCGTTACGGAGCGACGTAGCTACGATTTTTTTTCGCAAAACGACAGACCAAAGTCTCCTGATTAAACCGACATACGACACGTTAACCCGATCGCATTTTTTAAACTCGGCAGATTAGAAAATTCAAAGATATGCACACATTTTTAGTTTGACGTTTCAATTTGAATTTCCCCTCCAGATCCCCGATTCCTGTTAGGCGGGTAATTGTAGACACGATCGTATTACGAAAGCGAGCGCGTGCAAGCGGAACGTCAAAAACGTGCCATTTTCGGCTTTATGTTGGTCGCTTCATCGAATATAGGATCACGCCGAATACCATTGTCCTTTTTACGCGTGAAAATCAACATTTTCGAAAAGATTCAAAATTTCTCTATATTCCATTGTCTAAACGGACCGGACTAGAGCCATTAAAATCGTATGAATCTAGTAGTTTTTTATGTTTACAGATTGCGATGTCTACCGCCAAAGGCTGCATGATTCTTTGACGTTCATCAATTTATTGAAATCATCATCGGTTTATAAATACTATAAAAATATGATTGTAAGCCCCTATTCATGTTATAATTTTACAATATGGCATAAAGCTCCGCTTTTCCACCGATTGATATAAAGCGTATGTCTGATTGCATCACCTCCGATTTCTAACCTACAATGGTATGAATGTAAACATTATCGAATCTTAATAATGAGGCTCCGTTAATAAGGATTAATTAGAAGCTTAGAACAAGCAATCGCAGCTACAAATAGTGACAGTGTTGTGAAGTGTTTACAGTTTATGTGTTTCTATTGCAAACGTAAGTAGTCATCACTTCTATGAAGTTTCAGTAAGAGTTCAGTCTTGACCCTCGTTTCAATTCATCTAAATATGTAGACTTATTAGCTGGCTAACAGTGGCACATATTATCAAGCAGATGAAGGAATATGCAAAGCGCTGAAAAATAGCATTGATAATCATATCTACTACCAAAGTTTTTCAAAATTACTAAGACTTTCACAGCCACTGCAGTTGCTTATTTTGATCTCAATGCAGAATGTATGTACTTCGATTTAGAATGTAGCTGCTTTAAGACTTGTCACTTCCAAGACTTGTCAAAACAACAGACACCATTACTTGTCAAAAAACTATAGCACTTGATGATTTCAATTTCTATTCTGTTTTTTAAAGATGTTATTATTATATGTCTAATTTCAAGGATACTCACATCTGTCCTGTTTCTAAGACTGATCTTAATCATAGATTACAGAAAAATTCATTATTGAATCAGAGGAAACAGATTACAAAATTTGATTTTTCAAGCGATACTATTACTTACTGTCCAACAACTATAGTACTTAATAATTTCAAGCTTCTGGTCTAATTTTTTGAGATGTTATTATTATATGTCCATGTTCTAATTGATTGATCATAATCATACAACATTAAAAAAAATAGAGGAAATTTTATTTTAAGCGATAGCACATTTTTCTCAGATCATAAAGCGAGCATTGTTCATCTGCTTCTGTTGAATTTTTCCCAAACGAATAACTTTACCACCAACAAACTCATAAATATTGTAAAAACCTTGTATTAGTAGTATCTCACCTGAGTAGTATGTATAAATGGAAAATAAGTAAACAAACGTTGTCATCTATCCCTTCGCTGCCAAATATTATCAAGCAGATGAAGGAATATGCAAAGCGCCTGAAAAATAGCATTGATAATCATATCTACTACCAAAGTTTTCAAAATTACTAAGACTTTCACAGCCACTGCAGTTGTTTATTTTGATCTAAATCGATTTAGAATGTAGCTGCTTTAAGAACTTGTGACTTCCAAGACTTGTCAAAACAACAGACAACCATTACTTGTCAAAATTTGTAAGATAAGTACTCTGCACAGTATAATCGTAACTTGGTATAGACCATATTTGTGATATCGCTTAGATTAAGCCTGCCAGTGGAGTGAAAGTTACCTATACGATTACTGAACTCTACATTAAAATAATTTATGATGCCATGTTGTTTATCTAAACTATTTTATTTTTGCAGATCACATAATTATTACATACATCCCTTAAAAGGGCCCAATTTGAAGTAACAGATTATAGAGTTCAATTTTCACATTGTTGTTATTTTTACGGGTTCTTCTTTCTGGCGATGGACATTCAATTGCTTCTCCCTATTAATACCTAAACAATGTAGGTCTATGTTCTTTTTTCCCATCCACAAAGTGACAACTACATAAGTATGCACCAGGACCTGGTTCAACTGTTCTCCTGCAATAAATAGTAAAAATAAGACAAAAGTTCAATTGAAAATATCCTATCAATATCCTATTTTTTATAAGCAAGATACACACACATTAGCGGATCGCTCAGTTACATACCTGCTTGTAAACTAACGGCCTTATTTTCAACAAAAATTGTTTTAAAACTCCACTTTAACCACTTGATACGGAAGAAGTTTTCTCAAGGTGTTTATGTTTACTTTTTTTTTTAGTTTTACGGATTTCCTTACTATGATATTTAGGAATTAACTTTCAGAATCTTAATTTTTCCTTTCATTATGTTGTAGATGCACACATCTCACAATAGGAGTTATTGAATTTTAATTTTAAACAAAATACATTTCATTTTCCAGGTTAGAAAAAATTACCTATGACAATGACATTGACATTACAAAACAGAAAACATATACACTGAAGAAAGCATAGTCCACTGCTATCCATAGACGAACACGGTTGACATATGTCAGTGTCAAGCGCCATTTTTTGCAAGTCGTGTTATAGCTAGATTTATGCGACGATCCTCATATAAATCTAAGTCTGCTATACAATTTGCTACATGGAAGATTTTATAACGCCATGTATGGTATTAACAACAACACATGCGACGTTGCCGGCATCTCACATAAATCTGAGTCTGTTATACAATTGTATACAGGATATTTTCAATGCTATATGGAAGATAACAGACAACAGATAACAGGTAAAAGGTGGTAACAGGTAACAGGTGGTAACATATAACAGATAACTAACTTATAACAGATAAAAGATAAAATATGACAGATAACAGATAAAAAGTAACAGATAGAAGAAAACAGGTAACAGATAACAAATAACTGATAACTGAAAACTAAAAAATGAAAACTGAAATCTGAAGAATGAAAAATGAAAATGAAAAATGAAAAATGAAAAATGAAAAATTGAAAATTGAAAAAAATAAAAAAATCAAAAATCAAAAATCAAAAATCAAAAATCAAAACTCAAAAATCAAAAATCAAAATCAAAAATCAAAAATCAAATCGAAAAATCGAAAAATCGAAAAATCGAAATCGAAAAATCGAAAAATCGAAAAATCGAAAAATCGAAAAATCGAAAAATCGAAAAATCGAAAAATCGAAAAATCGAAAAATCGAAAAATCGAAAAATCGAAAATCGAAAAATCGAAAAATCGAAAAATCGAATCGAAAATCGAAAATCGAAAAATCGAAAATCGAAAATCGAAAATCGAAAAATCGAAAAATCGAAAAATCGAAAAATCGAAAAATCGAAAAATCGAAAATCGAAAAAATCGAAAATCGAAAAATCGAAAAATCGAAAAATCGAAAAATCGAAAATCGAAAAATCGAAAAATCGAAAAATCGAAAAATCGAAAAATAAAAAATAAAAATTAAAAATTAAAAATTAAAATAGAAAAATTAAAAATGAAAAATTAAAAATTAAAATAGAAAAATGAAAAATGAAAACTGATAACTTATAAAAGATAACAGATACCAGATAGCAGATACCAGAAACCAGATACTAGACACCAGATACCAGACACCAGATACCAGATACCAGACACCAGATACCAGATACCAGATGCCAGACACCAGACATCATACCAGACATCAGATACCAGACACCAGACACCAGATACCAGACACCAGACACCAGAAACCAGATACCAGATACCAGATATCAGATACCAGATACCAGACACCAGATACCAGACACCAGATACAGATACCAGATACCAGACACCAGAAACGAGATACGAGATACCAGATACCAGATACCAGACACCAGATACCAGATACCAAACACCAGATACCAGATACCAGCACCAGATACCAGACACCAGATACCAGACACCAGATACCAGACACCAGATACCACACCAGATACCAGATACCAGACACCAGACACCAGATACCAGACATAGATACCAGACACCAGATACCAGATACCAAACATCAGATACCAATACCAGATACCAGATACCAGACATCAGATACCAGACACCAGAACCAGATACCAGATACGAGATACCAGATACCAGATACCAGACACCAGACACCAGATACCAGATACCAAACACCAGATACAGATACCAGATACCAGATACCAATACGAGATACCAGATACCAGACACCAGATACCAGACACCAGATACCAGATACCAGACACCAGATACCAGACACCAGATACGAGATACCAGATACCAGATACCAGACACCAGATACCAGATACCAGACAGCAGATACCAGATACCAGACACCAGACACCAGATACCAAATACGAGATACCAGATACCAGACACCAGACAAGATACCAGACACCAGAACCAGATACCAGACACCAGACACCCGATACCAGATCACATACCAGACACCAGACACCAGATACCAGATACCAGACACAGATACCAGACACCAGAAACCAGAAACCAGATACCAGATACCAGATACCAGACACCAGATACCAGATACCAGATACCTGATACCAGACACCTACCGGATACCAGATACCAGATACCAGACACCAGACACCAGATACCAAATACCAGATACCTGAAACCAGATACCAGATACCAGATACCAGACACCATACACCAGATACCAGTTAACAGATCAAAGATGCCAAAGGATAGAAAATGATTAGTGATAGTTATCGCTAGCATTGCATT